GATTACAGAAATGAAAAAGATTTCAGAATATTCATTGTAACAAAACCCAATGAGATACAGAGAAAAATGACAACCAACTCTTGTTGATGAATAAATCCTTCCATGACTTGAAGGAAGAACTCCATAAAGACACAGACACTGAAAAAGAATAAAACTAAACTTCTGGAGATAAAGAATATGATGAAGGAAAGGAAAACCTCCCTTGAAAGTATCAACAGCAGTTCAGACCATGCAAAAGAAAGAATCTCTGACCTTGAAGACAAAACCTCCAATTTAGTCCAAGCAACCAAAAAGAATAAAATTCAGGACAACATATGGGAAATCCTAGATGTCATTAAAAGGCTGAATATCTGTATAATAGGTCGTGTAGAAGGTGGAGAGACTGGCAAAGGCAATATTCTAAAAATGGCAAAGAGAAGCGCCAAGTTACTTACAAAGATTAACCTATTATACTAACATCGAACCTCAAATGATGCAGGCAAGGAAAGAATGGGAAGACATGTTTAAAATGCTGAAAGGAAAATAGTTTCTGCTAGGAGTACTATACCCAGCAAGATTTCCCTTCAAATGGGAAAGAGAAACAAAATCATTCCCAGATAAGCAAATGGTGAAAGAATTCACAAGAACTAACCCGGCTCTTGGAAAAATACTTATGGGAATATACACCAGGAAAACTAAAAGGAGATAAATAGAAGAAAGAGCACAAAACAACTAGGAGAAAAGGCTAAGTCCACACATATCGATAATAACATTGACTGTTAGGATTAAATTGCCCAACAAAAAAGCTAAAAATGAAGGCTCAACTATATCTTACACACAAGCAGATTCAAGTAGAAATTCACCAATTATTCCATAGACAGTTGCCTCCACAGGTTTCAATTTATATATTTATTATAACCATTACTCATTGTATAAAACTAGGTAACAGAGGGAAAGTCCAAAACATTACAAGTAGCTGAGTCTTTCTTTGCAATGAATTTAAAGAAGGCTAAAATGAAGAAATTTGTAAAGTCTTTAAATCATCATACCACTGACTTTACCAAGTCTTCGCTTTTAGATACCTCTTCAATTTTTTTTGTTGTTGTTTTTGCTTTTTGAGGACCTATTTCTTTATGTACAGTACAGTACTATGGTCTTACAAGAACTCACAGTGAGTAAAAGTTTTCTTTTTCTCTTCCTAATGAGCCATTGTTATGTAGAATTTTCCCTATCTCTAATTGGACCAATTAATTATACCATAGATGTTTTCATAATATAAACTCTTACTCCCCACAGTCCTCTATGTGGAAATTTCAAATTCTGTCACCAGCTATGTTAAGATTATTATTTTTTTTAAATCTATCCTTGTTAAATTATGAGGTTTTTTTTAGTTGTTTGATTTTTAATCAACTTGTGGTTTTTAGAACCGTATTTCACAGTAAAGAACATCCTAGACATTTCCGTACATGCTGACAGAATAACCAGTGGAGTGGGTGTTGAATGTTTACAACGTAATGTTACATGTTGAAGGTGGTGAATATGTTTATATCCTCGATCTGTTTATTTTCCACTGTATACATGCTTTTAAGGAACATTCTGTATGCTACAAAGATGCGAAACAATTATATGTAAATCATAAGTTATGATAAATGCTTTTAAAATAATGTATTGAGTTATGAGTTATCCTAGAGAAAATTCTGGGTGCTCCACGTGCTGCCCTCTTAGTTATGGTGCACAGAACAGTAGTGTGCATTCCATGTGACAATGTCCTGTTGTTCAGAGTAAAACATCGGAGCCCCAGCTCACCTAAATGGGATCCACGGCCCCTAATGTCCTTCTCCTTGCCTGCAGGTATCAAGGCTGTGTTTTCCGGTCACTACCACAGGAATGCTGGGGGGGTC